GGATAAAATGGTCAGCCTCTGGCCAAAATTAGCAAGTGGAGGAAATGATAATCTGTATTTATTTGGGACCAGTCTAAACCCTCTATGAATCTCCGAGACAGTGGCTTCACAAAATTGAGGGTCACAGAGCCACAGTGAAGGCCCTCACCTGGTGTCCATTCCAGGCAAATTTGTTGGCGACAGGCGGAGGTGTTGGTGATGAGTCAATTAAGTTTTGGAATAGCCATACTGGTGCCTGCTTGAATTCAGTAGAAACTGGTTCTCAGGTCTGTGCTCTGTTGTGGAGCAAGCAAGAACGTGAATTGTTAAGTGCTCATGGATATCCACATAATCAGCTTACTTTGTGGAAATATCCATCAATAAAAAAGATGGCAGAACTCTTTGGTCATACGTCTAGAATCCTTCACATGACTCAAAGCCCAGATGGGCACACCGTGGCAACTGCAGCTGCAGATGAAACTCTGCGATTTTGGAATGTTTTTGAGACCCCTGAAGTTGCAAAACGTGCTCCAAAAGCAGCAGACTCTGAGCCATTTGCCTATTTGAGTCGCATACGTTGAAGGTAACATAAATATTGATTACCTCAATTCTTTTAATCAAATATAGATAGAAGTTTCTATAGTTTCACTTGAAATCTGAATTTTTAAGTTTAATGAATGATGAGTATAGGATGCATCCTATATAATATTTATAGGAGGTATAAGTGTGAGATAGATAGGTTTTTTCAGAAGGTATAAATGTGAGATAGATTAATTTTTTGTAGATTATATATTTCTTGATGGATTATCAGAATAATGAGATATCTTTTGTTCGTTTGTGATCTTTAAAATACCTTATGCAGGAGAAAGACAATCCATATTTCGTTCCGTTAGCATGGGTACCTTCAAGTTAGGAATTCTGATCCTTAGAGAGATTTGGCACAAAAACAGGTCTCTGTATCTTACTCATGTTTATATTGCATGATAACAAATTTTGTTACGTTTCTTTTTTCTTCAAATAATATTTTAGTAATTACTATTTTGATAACTTTATATTAATCATCTTAGTTGTGGTGCTGCGAGGCAGGATCCCTTGATGACTTGCTAGCCTTGTGGCTCATGTATTTTTTATTATCTAGTTTGGATATGCTCTTCCCTCCATATTATCATTTAAGTGTTCTTTATTCTTCACTCTATTCTTACGCTTTCAGTTTCACTTTTTCTTTGATGGAACATTTTTCCTCATAAAAAATTTGAAGATGATGGGTCTTGCAGGGGAACTTGGTTATCTCATTTTCTACCACCATCCAGCAGGATTGTGCAGTTATCAAATGTGATTGTATGCATACATAAATATTTCCTTAAAATCCTAGACATTTTGCTTCCTGAAACTAGACACCAAAAGGTTAAAAAAGTACGTCAAGTGTAGGGATCAGAAATAGATTCTTCCGTTTATGAATATGAATTTCACATTTTATTTTTTGAATTGCACAATTCTCTTGGATGCGAAACAGAAAGATTTGTGACTCCAGTTCTTGACTAATTTTTATGTAAATTTTTATGTTAAACCATACATTCCGAAGCATTAGCTTGGCCAATTAACCTTGAAAAAGTCAGACTGTGTGTTTCTAAATTGGATGTTAAGAACTTTAATGAACTGATGAGTTGCGCTCTTTACAATGGTCCGGAGGGGACCCAGCGGGTTGGATTACATTATGAGAGATAATTCTATAACCTTTTCATAACATTCTCTGTATAGGTTAACAGTATTTAATTTCAGGTATTCAATTCTCTGCAAGATCCAGATGATTGCTTCCTTTACGAGACATTTACTTTTAAAGAAAAAAG